TTATGAATACAGGCAGTATCTGCTTATCTTATTGTGTTCTTGGTACCTATATTGTAGAGCTGTCCTGTTTTAGGGAGCACTATTAAAATAGGGTTGTATTCCTAACCAATAATGAAGCAACAGATAAAATTATTCAATCATTTATGTACGTGCATGATATGGGTGTGTATGTGGGTATATGAGAGCTACATGGGTTGATGTAAGGTTGCTATGAACAATCTAAAGAAAATAGCCCGGCTGGTGTAGCTCAGTGGTTGAGCATCGACCTATGAACCACACAAGGAGGTCACGGTTTGATTTCCGGTCAGGGCACATGCCCAGGTTGTGGGCTCCATTCCCAGTGTGGGGCATGCAGGAGGCAGCCAATCGATGATTCTGCCTCATCATTGATGTTTCTGTCTCTCTCTCTCCTACTCCCTTCCTCTTTGAAATCAATAAAAAAAATAAAATAATAAGTTTCATAACTATTATATAATAGTAAAATCATGCCATTTTGCCAAAAGGCTGAGTAAGTGTATAGACAGGTTCCAGTAACTAAGGACACTAGATAGAGGGAGTCTCCCTGCTGATCTTATTTCTATTTGTATTATAAAAATACACTATTATAAAATGCATTATTCAGGTGAGAGATCTGTAGAATAGTGTTTGCTGCAATTTAAATAGAAAAATTTATAGTAAGACAGATATTGAGAACCATTGCACTTGACTCTAATGTTCATTTATGCTTATTTTAAAAAAGACACGGTATCATCTAAATATTTGATGACATCCCTGAGGAATTTAGCTGTTTTTGCAAAGCAGAGCTTTCAAAATAGTATAATATTGTTAAACTTGTTTCTTTTTTCTTTTTTACTTTTCTCTTGTCACCCACCACAACTAGGAAAGCATTAAAAGAGAAAACAACCTAAGAGGACAGATTTGTTGTGATTATGGGTGGACGGGACAGAGACACAGACCTTAGACATGTACACTAGAGGTATCTTTTGGGAGTAAAGTAGTCCAAGTATGATAAGTGAAGTATGGGTGTTAGAGTTGAGCACAGCAGTCTGTAGTATAGATCTGTAGCACATGGTTTGTAGACTGAAGAAAAAGTGGTGTGTTTTTTTTTTGGATGGCATTTATATAGACTTCATTTACATGTTAATATTATTTTGAATGTACATAGATTTTTTTCTTTATTTTTTTTTAATTGCTTTCAGAGAGAAAGGGAGAGGGAGAGAGAGATAGAAACATCAGTGTTGAGAGAGGATAATTGGTCGGCTGCCTCCTGCACACCACCTACTGGGGATCAAGCCCAAAACCCCAGCATGTGCCCTTGACCAGAATTGAACCTGGGACTCTTCAGTCCACAGGCCAACGCTCTATCCACTGAGCCAAACCAGTTAGGGCCATAGATTTTTATTTTTGTAATTTACCTAAAGTTATTTAATGTTGGGGAATAAGACGGAAGATAAAAAATTTCTGTTGAAGGAGTAAGACTTTTATGTAGGAAGTATAGAAAATGGAAAATAAAATTGATTTTAGAGAGAGGAAGGGGGAGAGAGAGAGAAACATCCATCTGTTGCCTTCCACATGGGGATTACAATCTGGGTGTGTGCCCTTGACCGGAATTGAACCTGGGATCTTTCAGTCTGCAGGCTGACTCTATCCACTGAGTCAAACCAGCTAAGTCTAAAAAAATGTTTTTTAAAAAATTAAAAAAGATTGAGAAACTGCTCTTATCCATGATTTTTATTTTTTATTAAAAATATATATATTTATTAATTTCAGAGAAGAAGAGAGAGGGAGAGAAAGATAGAAACATAAATGAGAGAGAATCATTGATCTGCTGCCTTCTGCACGCCCCCTACTGCGGATTGAGTCGTAACCTGGGCATGTGTCCTAACCGGGGATAGAACTGTGACCTCCTGGTTCCTAGGTCGACGATCAACCACTGAGCAACACTGGCCGGGCTGATCCATGATTTTTAAAACAATAACTGCATGTTTTATTTCAACTCTATTGAAGTATAATTGACATAAAATTATAAGATATTTCAACATTTATGAACTTGCTACCTGCAAGTCTGTCTGTGCTAGATGATTTGATGTAACACTTTCTTTAGTGATCTTACATCTTGCCATAAAAATGAAGTAAAGTTTCCTTGTGTTTTGCTTCTTGAATTTTGTATTATTATTTTTAGTTCATCCCTCCTTCTGTCCTGTTTTTGTGTTCCACAATGCTCCTAACTCATTGAAGAAAAAAATCAAAATCTTATTTTGAACACAAGTTAAACCTCTTTGTGAAAGATGCTGCTGCTGCATCTCCTAGAATTCTGACAGAAGCTGAGAAAATAAGGTCAGATTTGCAGAAGTCCTTGCTGTTTCATCATCCACAGAATCTATCCACCCTTAAAAGGCTGTGCAATTTTGCTGTCGGTGAAAGGGCATTATGTTTTCATTACAAACACTGTCTGGAAAGAGGCCAGTATGTGGAAGATACAATTATAGGGAATTGACCAGTAGGGTTTTCTAAAACCTGCTATTTGTGTCCTTTTTACAGAATAAACTCTGAAACCCCTTTGGTTCTGTATTTTTTCTTTCCATGTCTCATAGAGGCCATCCTCATAGTTTTTAGTATTGTGAAATTTAGTATTTTTAGTGCAGTTTGATTTATCATGTTTTTAGTGTGTGTGTGTGTGTGTGTGTGTGT